TATTGTTGTCATTCTACTTGACGCTCAATAGTTTTTAGTTTTTCTACAACTCTCTTCTTTTACTACTATATAGTTTACTAGTTTATAACCCGTAGGAACCATAGTTCTAAAATTAATTAAAATTTTATAGTAAAAAATTAAAATTATTAATCAGTTATTTTAAATAAATTATTAATTTAATAGATGTTTTTATGAGTTATGTGAAATTATAATCGTTGATTCAAATAAATATGTAAAATTAAATTTTAATATATATTATACATTTTTTATTTGTGAATTAATGAAAACAATAATATAAAATTTAAAATCTCTATTCTAATAAAAGAATAGTTTTATTCTCATTTAGACATGTGTCATTGTATTAGGCATTTTAATTAATGCATATGTTATTCTCTTTTTACCATGTTTACCCTATTATGTCATCTAATTAATGCATGTCATTTATCAACCTATTGATTCTTCATTTCAAATTTCAAATTTTAAATTTACCACTCTAATTACATTAAATTAATAACATTAGAATAAAAATTAAAATAAAATTAATACAAATTATAAAGTGATATAATTTCACATATTCATTTAAATCGATGATTATAATTTCATATAACTAAAAAAAATATCTTAATTAATAATTTATTTAAAATAATTGATTAATAATTTTGAGTTTTTATTATAAAAGTTCAATTACTTTTGTAACCGTGATTTCCACGGGTTATAAACTAGTAAAGAATAAATACATTGACAAATAGCATCACATTAATGAGAGGTGTAATAAATTTAAAATAGAGAACTAATAGATTGACAAGTGACAACACATTAATTAAGATGTATAATATGGTGATACATGACAAAAGAACTACTCTTTTATTAGTATAAGGAGATTAATTTATGAAAGACTTTCTTATCTTTAAGATTATATTGTTACATTTATTTTTCCAATCTCTTTTTATCATTGTTATTTTTTCTAAATTTCTTATGTGGGGGAAACTATCTATTTAATTTCAAAAAAAAAAAAAAAAAAAAAACTTTTTTTTTCTAATTATTTTAGAATTTGTTGAGGGGCAGCTCCGTACATAGTTCCTCTACTTGATCCACTAATAAGTGTAAATGATCTTAAATATAAATTTGCTTCACCTCTTAAAATTCATTCCATATAATTGACCAAACTGTAAGAATGTGTTTTGTCCTTTGTATTTTCCTTCTCTATTTATTTATATTTTACAATAACTAAAAAACAAATGAAAAAAGAAATCCAGCCCCACCTACACTTCCCCCTTCTCATTTCTCTTGCTTTTCACAAAAAGAAACTATCACCATCACCAACTGGCGTTCTGACGGAGATGGTTACCATTATTCATTGTTAGCCGGAGCAACACCACATCTCCATCTCTTTATCTCTCTCAGCGGCAGTGTAACTCAATGAAGATGGTAATTCGACGAACATGGCAAGCGATGACATTGTCACAAAGTTAGGGTTTCTATGGATCCACCATCCTCCCTCCTAAACGACCATCATTTTTTCGTCTTCATCTTTCTAGATCATAGGTGGTTTAGGTTTTAAAAAACCCTAACTTCGTATGGTGGTTGCAAGCTATGGTGAGTGACAATGGTTTTGGCTCTAAAAACCATAGGTCTGGTGGGACTTGTGGTTCCAGGTACGTGATGGATTTTGGTAAACGACAAAGGAGAAGGTAGGCGGTTGTGCTTTAGATCTACGAAGAACAGATGGCTTGATTAGAGAAAGAATGGAGGTTTGGGTGATGGTTTTTGGTAGGCGAAGGGCAGTGAAATGGTAGCACCCACTATCTAATAGAAAACCCTTTTGTTGGATCATCTGTTTATAACAAAACCTAGCATCGCTGCTACTGGGTAGAGCTGAAGTTTGGATATCTGAAAAACCGAGCTAAAGTCACCCACAAGAACCATAATTTCTTCCATTTTTGAAGCTCTCTCGTAAAACCCACTTCCATATCCAATTATTTTCATCTTGGCCCTCATCTTCTTCTTTCTTGGATTTCAATGGAACTTTTCTTATGAAAAGCCATTGAAGCTACTGATGTTTTTTTTTATCCTATTGTTCTTGAAAGTTGGTTTTGATTAATTTGATTTTAATCTTAATAGGTTTGGTGGCCAATGTTAATAAGGACAACCCTAAATCCCAAAAAGTATTAGCGTGTGCCCTTTTTAGCAAAATCGGTAAAGAAATGGAAGTCAACTTCGACATGTATGTTAGACAAAAAGCAGTTTTTGAATGTCTTCGGGCACCTCATGCTCCAAATTTTCTGCTAACTATCCATATTGATGGCCTCGGTCAACATATGTCTCATGTGGAGTACCGAACTATCATTCGTTACCGCCTCATGATTCCTCTATTATCAATTGACGAGATATATATACCCAATTTGTCGCAAGGTATGTTTGGATACTTTTGTGGAACATGTGGTTCATTGTAGAGAGCTCACTGGTTTCAAATACCGACATGATGTGGTTAGGGATGTTCTCTTTGATGTTTTTCGACGTGCTTGACGGACCCGCATGATGGAAAATCCACACTCAGGCCGACTGACATTTTGGTCTTTGGATGGGTATGAGGAAAGCACACTTGTGTGGATCTTACTAGGGTCTCTCTTCTCATCAGGTTGAGGAGCGGATGTTTCACAGCAGGGGGATGCCGCTTTGAAAGTCGTTGCGTGCAAAGTGGCAAAATACGAGAATGCATGTATAGAAAGTCAATATGTGTTTGTACATTTTGCATTTGATACATTTGGTTTTTCTCATACCAGAGGCAGTGAAACTCATCAATAGAATCCAACAGGTCATAAATTTTAATGTTATATCTCTTAGATTCACATATCTTGTTTTCAAAAAAATTAGTTTTGTCATCGAGAAAGGGTCAACGGCGCAACTTGTTGCTCGTTTGCCGTCCATCGATATGTATTGAACTATAAATAATTAATTAATGAAATAGAGAATGATTTAAAACTTTGTTAATTAAAGTGAGGTTTGATTTGAATTTGTTAAATTGGTTATGAATGACATGTTGAATAAAATAAATAAATATATTAAAAAAAAAGTGTAGGTATGATGCATAATTGTATTTAAATGACGACATGAAATAGATAACTGAAACCAGCAAAAAAATGAGAAATAATCATTGTGGTACGTGGCTAATTTGTACCTTAGGGAGTGTTTGATATACGTCTACCGAGTTCGGTCAAACATTTTTGGTTGACTCGGTCAGCAAAACATGTTTGGTAATCCAAATTTGGGCATCTGAATCGGAAAGAAAAATCGGATTCGGATAGAAGAAGGAAAACAACTGACTGAGAAAGCCGTTCTTTTCAGCGCCTCCATCCTCATTCTTCTCCTTCTTACATCGCCTCCATAGCCACGCATCAACCAACAAGCATCAACGATCTTCTCCATACCAACGATCCATCGACTGCCTTTCCTCATCAGGTATGATTTCTACATAATTAGGTCTAATAAATTATGCGAAATTTAATAGAAGATCGACATATTTATGTTCCTGTTTGATTTCTCATTTTTCTAATTTCTCTTATTTCTACATAATAGTCGATTAAGAATAGGTTTCGATTTCGGATTCTTTTGTTGAACGTGTTTATGGGTTCTGATTTTTGTCATGTTCATAAGTGAATGGTCCGATTTTGTTGTTTTGTTCGTGTTTAAACTTCTTAAAAAGTTCTGATTTTTTGTTGTCATGTTCTTGTTTGAAAAGTTTTGATTTTTGCTGTTGAATTCACATCTGTTCATACACATATTTGTTCTCTAGCTTGAAATCATTTTTGCTATTGAATTCATATATGTTCATACACATTTTTTACTGTTATGTTTCTATTTAATCACTATTGTTGCTCAAGTTATGGAGCTAATTATAACTAAATAGGATTTCACCTGCAGCGTTATATTAGGGATCATAACCCTTAAAATTTATTGAGGATATGTTTTGTTTAAAGAGAAGCAGTGCAAGGGTATGTTGAAGAGAGCATTTTTAGTAGTGTTGGAAAAGGAGAAAAAAGCAAAACAGATGAAGGAAAAAATAAAGGAAAAAGGAGATAAACAACTTTGAACTACTCATTCTTTTAAATTGCTATGAATATTCACACCTGCTACAAATATAGTATTTTAAATAGATTGAACTCAAATCATTTTATAATATCATGCTTTTCACTTGCAGGTAAATGAAGTTAAAATTCCAAAAAGATAACTGTCCTTGCTAAGGATTGAAAGAGTAACTTTGGTTTGAAATCCCATGTTCTTGTTCTTTATATTGGTTTAGATGAATTATGCTCCTAGTATTTGGTTTGAAATCCCATGTTCTTGATCTTCAATTTCATCCATGGCTTGCTTAAATTGATTGATAATGTGAATATGGTCAATGAATGAATTTTTTGAATTGTTGAAAAACAATGAATTTATTTATAACTTTATAAAAACAATGATTTCTTTTATAATTTTTATTTGGATTTTTAAATGATTTGTTTTTAATTTATATTTTTTATGATGTTTGTAACTCTTCAACAACTTCATGCATCATTATATAGAGCAGCAGGGTAAAATGGTAATTTTTATCAGTCAGTACATTCGGTCAGATTTATAATCAAACAATATCATTTCTTACTCAATCAGGATTTCTTATCCAGACAGACCTTTCTCAGTCATCACTTTATCAATCAGCAACCGTCAAACAAGACCTTACTTTTTGAATTTAGCGACATATTGGGCTCACCATTGCGAATACTATCAGAATCAGCCTCAAACATTAACAACATTAACAAAATTTTGTTATTCGGTGTTTTAGTGTCTTCTCTTTCACTCCACATTTGTAAAAAATCTTCATTTGTTTCCCCAACTTATATGCATTCTAAATGTAAACTGTCCAGAACTCCACCAATTTATACATACACTTGAGTATTTATATTATTATACTAAATACAACTAAATACTTTCTAAATATATTTTAGACTTAGACCAGAGGGAAAAAATACCCTTAAAAACACAAATTTCATAAAGTTTTTATAATAACTAAATAATTGAAAGAAAATATTTATACTATACTCTACTTATAGCATTGTCGATTACAAAAATCCGCATATTTAAAGAAAAAAAACTTCTAATAGATTTTTGAGATACAAAATCATTAAAAATGTTTTAAACATATAAGTTTTTTAGGCTCCTTGAAAAGTTAGGCCCTCAACGGTCACCCCTATCACCCACCATTTGACACGGATCTGAATACAACATACACATACACATGTAGACACATCGTGCCCTTGCATAAGCAACCACATACACACATAATACACATACACAAACATAATTATAAATATATGCATAATACACTCACATCCCGTTAACCCATAGTTTTACTACTTTCATGGGATATGACTACTCCCACAATCAATTATTTCCATGAAATTAATGCTCAAACAGAATCTAAAACTTATGCCAATATCATTTCATATCTTTCTTGCTTTGAAGTTTCAACATTTTACTACACGAGAAGTTCCAACAAATTCCCCACACTTCCAAATTCTACAATATTAACTACTATTACAAGTACAGTTCAATTTCTCATTCCATTATACTTCATTATGTCACACTTGTAATTTGACTTCGATATTGTTATTACGGGTATCTCATAATTTAGATGCACAAAACACAGTTTTTTTCAAGGCAGTTGCAGCTTTAGACTCAGAGGGTCTCCCCAAATGTTTCCTAATAAAATCTCCCGCCAAAATCAGCTTTCTAAGGTCCACATTTGTCTTCACACCAAGCCCATTAAGCATATATACAACATCCTCAGTTGCCACATTACCCGTGGCACCTTTTGCATATGGACAACCACCAAGACCCGATACAGATGAATCCACCACACTAATCCCCATCTATTTTTTTAAACAAAAAAAAAAAAAAAAAAAAAAAATTAGCCTTAGACTTGTGTTTCTCCATATAATTAAAAACATCTAATTAAAATGTAAAATTTTAGGGTTTCAGTGAGAGATGAAATAATCTTTACTTGGAGTGATACAAGAATATTAGAAAGAGCTTGCCCGTATGTATCATGAAAATGCACAGCAAGCTTCTCTATAGGCACAACTTTTTTAACAGCCTCAATCATAGGAATAACACTACCTGACAATACACACACAAAAAAAAAAAAAAAGTATACACATTAATTTAATAAATAGAAACAAAGATTTACTTATAACTAAATGATAATAAATATCTATATACCAGGAGTCCCGACACCTATTGTATCACCAAGGGAAATTTCATCACACCCCATTTTTACAAGCTCTTCAGCAACATATGCCACTTTTGATGGATGCACTTCTCCTTCCATTGGACATCCAACAACACATGATATATATCTGATACAATACAACAAAACATATTAATTACTCTACAAGCTTATATGTATGTATGTAATGTGCCTGACATATAACGACATGTGTCAGGCACATTACATTATATGTATGTAATGTGCCTGACACATAACGACATGTGTCAGGCACATTACGTACTTGTATTTATCAGGCACAGTGTGCCTGATAAATACAAGTAAGTGTGTATGTATGTGCCCGATACATATTATGTATCGGGCACATACGTAAGGAGAATACTTGCACTACGATGAGTTGAAATACAAAAGTTAAATACCCGCGTACAGGGATGGAGAGTTTTCTTGCAGCAGAAGCAACGTCGCGATAACGTGCAAGACTTTCATCAATGCTACAGTTGATGTTTGACCTTGAAAACGACTCAGAAGCTGCAGCAAACACAGCGACTTCCTTTACTCCAGCTGCAATAGCTGCCTCTAATCCCTAGAAGATTGTGAAATAAATTAACAACCTTTTTTTTTTACAGCCATTGTATTATTATTAAAGATTTGTATTAAAGATTTGTAAAAGATTACAAGTTACCTTAAGATTTGGTGTTAGAACTGGGAATCTAGCATTGCTAACTCCTTTAATTCCTTCAATTACATCTTTTGCATCTGCCAACTGCAGTTTTGAGTTTTGACATCCATTAAAGGAACAAAAGATGGACATTTTCATTATATTATGAATACAATCTTCTTTTCTTGTTACCTGTGGGACCCATTTTGGTGAGACAAAACTAGTAGCTTCAACAACTTGTAATCCTGAATCAACCAACATTTTGATCAATTCAACTTTCACAGAAGTAGGAACAATATCTTTCTCATTTTGCAATCCATCTCTTGGACCAACTTCCACTATCTTTACATATTTTGGGATATTTCCTAATAACTGGAATATTTATTACATGTAAACAAGTAAATAACATATGGACAACCCTTAGGTTATATGATAATATTAGCATCATGATTTGATTGTGTACCTTATGTTGTGAATTTGTTGCGATACTATCTGTGTATTGGGTGCTGTAATGACAACTTGACATGCATATATGTGGATTTAGAGTATGAACAACAGGGGGTTGATGTCTGTAATGTTGTAAAGACATCTTTGTTAGTCTTTTTAATGGAAATTACTAGTATTCATTAGTGATTAGATGTGATCAAGGATAAAAAATTACTTACCTTTGACTTTTGGATGAGCCAAATTCCCCTAATTTCCTGTAGTTTCCAGCTGCAATGTCGTATACTTGGCTTTTAGATGTTACAGGGTGGTTGGTTTCAAAAGCATCGACACCAGTGCTCATGCTCATATGCTTTTCAGAAGCTATTAGCATCAAAGTGCTTAAAAAGGTAGGACTATATTTGTGGCAATTGAAAGATTTCCTCCTTGTAACACCACCAAGGAACTTAGATGATAGCATTGAATCAATAAGATGAGTAGAAAAGACAAGGAGTTATCTTCGATTTGACCTGAACCCCAAAGGAAAAGAAAGCGTTATTGATTAATCATGTAGGAAAGCAGAATTGATAATCTGATTGCGTTATTTCTGATCACAAGAAGTGTATTTCAACAACATATTAAAAAGAAAGAGCCTAAGTCATTTTGCCATGTAGTTGAAAACAGAGTACGATCCCACAAAAACGAAGGCTATCAAGGTGCAATTCTTCCATTTCCAGAAACCTAGCGATGCATTTAGGTTTCAATTTATGGATTTCAATTACGACCCGTGGATACTAAACACCAAATTAGAACAAAATTGGAGGGTATCGAGCTCAGAAACTCAAATAGTCATGACCTAGAGGCTGCCACACCTTCTCTCATCGAAGTCCAGCTCTCACTACAGAATTGGCGTCGTGTTATCATCTAAAATCATAATACTTTTTACCAACATACTTGTACAATCTTCCTCGATAAAACCCATAGGGGAGATTACAATTTTTTGTTGGGATGATTACCTCGGTAAAGGTGCGATTGATTGTAGACTAAACCCTCAATCGGAAAATACGCGAGACTGGAGAGACCATGCACTGTCTACCATAGCAGCAATGAAGATGTCTTCAACGATAAATACGCATGCTTGTCAGATATTCCGTCCAGGATTAGACTGAAAACAGTTGACGAAGTTATGTCATCATCTTTATCTTTGACTTCATAGAATAAATTAGATGAAATTTTAGGGTTTCTATAGATGGCATCTGTAGCAGGTTTAACGCTGCACATCATTGGCTCTTTTACTCTTGTTAATTATTGTTTTATACTGTAATCTTATTACAAATTTATTCTTTGAGAAATTTGTAATCTTATTACAAATTATTGATACTATATAAACTAAATTATAATCCGCTTAAACGCAAGAAATGTATAAAAAGTATACAAATGTCTACAGATATTGCATAATAATCATTAAAAAAAAATTATGGTTATTGGTATTATTGAAATATATAGAAAAATATATATAATCGTTAAATAATCTATTTGTATACAACATTTTTTGTTTTATTAATTGAATGAGATTATCACTTACGTAATGCGGGAGAACATATAAAAAACATAGAATTGTATATAGATATTGCACAAAAATTATATATAAAAAGGAAAAAAAAATATTTATAATTATTGATGTTATTGAAATATCTATAACATATAGTAAATTGGTAAATATCTATAATCATTGAAGGGTTTCTTTGTAAACAATATTTTTTGTTTTATTAGTTGAACAAATTTCTTAGTCACAAATGAAATCTTAGTTGCTAATTCATGTCAATGCATGTCATTTCAACATTGTAATTTATGTTCTTTTCATAATAAGACAATGTACTTTAGAGAATCTGTCACACCCCCGAACCAGACGGCGGCAACATCCGAGGGCTATTGTGACTTAATTGAATACCATCACAATGAATATACATGAATCATAACATCATTCACCACCATGCATTGAAATATTACAACCGATATTGTTTACATTCAGTACATTGTTTAAAGCATTACATTCCCAAAACATAAACCGTTCGATAGTAATTAAACAAACATTATGACATCATTGGATACATTTGGCTTCGATTTACCTGTTACCTGAGAATACAAGTATTTTGGAAAAACGTCAACATATGAAATGTTGGTGAGTTCATAAGTATGGTTTGAAAAGAAATGATTTGTATAATTTTGAAAACCATAGAAAATCCGATATTTTCTAAAAAAAAAGTGTTGTATATAAGAAAAAGTGTGAAGATCCGTAAGTATGCTTGTTGATTATTATAAACGTGAATAATTTTTAGACTTTGTATATATCACATAGTTAAGAGTGTTGAATTCCTCAGGGAAAACCCGATGTTTTCCCCAATACATCAAATTACGTGGCTTAGTTAGTATTATCCCGATACGACGTTGTTTTCTATAATTCCAAGTGACATTGGATTAATTATGGGTTGTGAGTCGTTATAATCACGCATTAATGAAAATGACTAGTTTACAACTATACAAACGATCCCTTAGGCGTCATCCGTACTACTCACTTAATCCAACCACCCTGACTTCTCATAGCCCCACAACCGAGGAGAAAAGAGGGTGCGAAGCCCCCGTTATTTCCATAAGTCGTTCAAGGCTATCGTGAATGCAAAAGGCACTTGGCTCGACTCGCATTTAACTTCTCGACTTTGCTAGCAATACCAAAGGACCCTTGGGGCCCAACAGCACAATAAAGCTATTGAAAGTCCTTTTACACTGAATTAGGTCATTTATGGCCCAATAACATGTAAGTGCGTTCCCTTCGGGCCTAAAGATCATGTCATTGGGCTAGCTAGGCCCAACAAGCACGATTTGAAACTTTCAAGCCCAAAGATGGTGTATTGACTTCTTGTAAATTTCCGCGTGTGTATTGAAGTATCATTGATTATTGATTTTTGATTTGTTATTGATTCGAGACCGAATCAATTCGTTTGGTAACGATTTTGGTGTTGAAGGTGTATTTATTATTACATTTCACCGGTAGACGTAATACTCGTATTTTTATTTTAAGGGGTCTATTGTTTTAAGAATGTGAGTTTATCTTCTTAAGCCCTTTTCTTGGATAAAATTTACACTTTTTACCCTTTGTGTATAAAAGAATTTCCGGTTTAGTCCGTAAACTATTTTTCTTGACACTTTAGTATCAAAACTTATTGGAAAGATATTTTTAGCACAAATTTACTTGATAAACAACTTAAGTCCTTCAAAAAAGAAATTTTCTCAGTTGAAACCTCCATTTTCACAACTTTTACAATTTTGACCCAAAATGGAAAAATTTTGCATCTTTGGTCCCTTTTTAATTTGAAAAGCATTTTTGACCCTTGAAATAGATTTCGTACATTAGTAATCCTCTGTTTTATAGAAATGTGCAGTTTCAGCCCCTCCAAATCAAAATTCTCGCAATTTGGGGCTTTATTGGGCCGAAAGGTCCATTTCGGCCCATTATGTTTAAAATTCACATTTTTAACCCTCCAAAAGTGTTAATATTCAGAAAATACATATTAGAAACTATTTAGACTCATCTCAACCTTCAGAATTTATATTTTGTCATTTTGGCCCCCTTAGTTTTGTATTTTTAGCATTTTGAGCCCAAAATGGGTTTTTAAGTCCAAAAATGTTCATATTAACCAACTAGATTATTTTTCTAAACTTGGTTAGTGTGAAATGGTATAAGTTATACTTATTTCATTCTTCATATAGTAGATCTCGGTTTTTAGGTTCATGTGGCTAGTTTAAACATCACAATCACACAAGATCATACATATAAGCATAAAAATCACACAAGGCATACATATACTCATAGATCTACACATTTGCTTGTATTCTCCCCCATAAAACTTATAAAAACCGAAAAAGAGGGGGTATGAAGCTCACCTTGAGTTGTGGTTTCGATTTGAAGAATTAAAAGAGAAGAGTTTGTTGCTATTTTCGGCCCTCGCAAGTTTCTTGAATGGATCTCGAACTTAGAGGGTTCTAAGATACAAGATCATGAATTCATATGAGTTAAGAGGAGGGTTTTTGATAGAACAAAGAGTCTACAGTGTGGATCCAAGCATCAACTTACCTAAGATGATGATTTTTGTGAAGAATCCTCCTTGCAAAGTCCTTAAATCTCGAAAATTTTGAAGGGAAAGTGAAGGGATTTGTGGTGTGTTCTTGAGAGTGTTTAAGTGAATGATTATGTGTGGGTGTGTGATACTCTCGGCCGAGAGTAATAGAAGAAGAGAGAGAAAGAAGTGAGAGGATATGCATGGAAACATGTAAGATATGCTTGGATATCCCATAGGTGTTAAGGAGGTGGCTAATCCTCCTTAATTCTCAAATTCTTCTTTTCTTTCTTTTTTTCTACTTGGGCCGAGAGATAGAGGGGAGAGATGGAGACTTGGGCCTTTGGTGCTTAAATCCAAATCATGGGCCCATGTTGATTGTTTTTCGGCCCATTGGACTCCTAGGGTGCCTCATGGCCCAATTTGGTTCATTTAAATAATTTATTTCATTCTAGGCCCAATATAGCCCAACATGGTAAAATAAATGAAAGTGGGTCCAATTAGAGACCATTTAAGAGTTCTAAGCCCAAGATGGTCAAATTGGAAGCTTATTGGTCCATTGGGCCCAATAAGGAAATCCTAGTCCAAAATGGACTTAAACAAGGACTTCTAGGGTTTCCAATTGCTTGTTGACTATTTGTAGTGCTTGTATGATGTGTTTGATTGAAATTTTATTGTCATAGAGTATGAATCATACATGCTTTTGAGTCTTTGATTCACACTTTGGCTTAATTGTTGTAATCTACAAGGCATAAAAATTTCTAGGTTGTGACAGAATCTATCCAAATTAAAGCATACTTTCATTTTTTTCATACCTAAATATCCATTGCTTTGTATATATAAATTGATAGACTTTTCAAAAGACAATATTATAATTAGGAAAAAATGTTAGAAGATGCTTAATAAACAAAAAACGATGAAAGTTCCACGTTATTTCTTTGCACAACTTTTAAATTGTACATCCAATTTCTTTTTCTTTTTTTTTTTTAATTTTTTTATTAGTTTAACCTTTTTGCAATATACTATTATACCTAAACAACTCATTTTTGTATAATCATATTAACTAATATATAAAAAATAATTACAATAAATAACAATATCAACTTAATTATTTTTGTAATATAGAATCCTACTTTAAATTTTTTCTATTTCAACAATATACTTTCAGTTTTATTATTAAGACATTACGAATTATAGCATTTTACGTTTACATTGTTTACATTTTTTATGGTGAAAATTGATTTGTATATGGAAGATATTTAATAAATGGGTACATTTAATAACATGGTTAGTAAATTATAGAAAAAAAATGTGAAATAGGAAATCGGAAATTTCAGAGGTTACCAAACCTGATGAACCAAAGCATTGCTCAAATTTGAGTTAATAATAAACCTTTTGAGGTAGTTTTGATTCCACTATCGAGCAGCCATGAGGAAGACCCAAAATCAAAACCATTTCTCTGGAATTAGAAATAAAATATAATTGCAATATGAACATAATGTTGTTGCCTTTTACCTATAGTTTGGATTGCTTTGTCCATATGTCTCGGTGCAAGCTATATTAATCTTGTAAGTATGCTAATTAGGTATTACATAAAATTATGGTACTATAAGATTTCATCAAGGATCTCTACGCTATGACAATTCAAATAATTCACGAAAGGTTCTAATAGACAATAGTCCAATCACTTAGAATTAACCATAAAGTCTACACTAAACATAATTAACCAGAAATAATTTAATAAAAGATCTAGCCTTGTTGAAAAGGACCGACAACCTGCACCAACAACCAAAAGCATGAAGAAATCCAAGAGTCTAACCAACACAACACTAAGAAAAATCAGAAAAAGATTAATTTTGTCACTAAATTAATCTTTAGTCATACCTTTGATAAAAGTAGGTCCCAAGTATAAGTAACATTGTTTCTTTTAACATCATTCAAAATATGTGATGTGAATTTATAAGGTACAAATAAATGAAAGTGTGTTCATGTTTCTTGCATTTATTTCTAAGTTTAATAGACATAAGTTAAAACTTTTTAAATATACCTCTAGGTTGTGCATGTCAACAGCCCCAAAAAGCTTGTTTAAGGATGATTAAGAAAGAATTTAAGCATCTTTATTAGATTCTAAGAGCAATGGTTCACCACCTTTTTGTCT